CTGCATCTCGACTTAGGCGAGATGAGCAGTTTGGCAACCGCGGACGGGGTAGGTGGTTCGGGTGGGATGGGGATGGGAAATGGGGGGCCTAGATACGCAGTAAAACCTGGGGGCGAAAACCACCAAAAATCATAATACTGCGTCCATTTCATAAATCGATAAGCAGGGCCTATGTACAACATTATCAGCTGAGCTTCTCAGCCTGTCCGTCTCATTCCGGGCAGGCAAGGCCCCCCCGGTGGTAGGGTAGTGTAGCAGTATGTTCACCTTGACGATAGATAGAGAGAGAGAGCAGGAATGTGACCAAACTTTTCATTATCGATGTGATGTTTCTGCCAAAAGAAAAACACGCGCCCTAGCCGCACATCTTTTCCCTTCCAAACCCCGGCTAACATTCATGCCCCCTTGTCCTCCATCTACCACTCTGCCACTCTGCGGTAACATAACACATCACGTCAGTCAGGGCAAGCAGCAGTACACACCACGGAGATGGAGTGTGTCCGTAGGGCAGGGCAATCTCTACCGCAACGCGGAAAGATCTCAGATGATCTCGGCGCGTTTCGCCCGCCGCCGCCGTCGTCGTCGTTGTTCGCCGCCCCCCCCCCCTCCCTTTCGGTCAAGCACTAATACATCCAAACCCCCGTCGTTCGGTGTGTATCACCTAGAACGAAACCCGCTCTGCAAAAGACAATTGGGACGGGTGTGACGACGGGGCTTATCGACATCAGCACGAACAACATGCTATCCGTTGGATGTCGAGGTAAAGATCGTCAAAAGAAGGCAGAGAAAGCTGTCTGCTCTGCCCTGATGATCATGGTGTTGATGGTTTTCGTGGTGGTGGTGGTGGTGGTGTGGAAACCAACAACACAACGACAACAACACCCCGGTTTCCTCACAAAAAGTCGACGTGTCAATATATTCTGCAACAATTGAGCGGTTTTTCCAATCCATTCTCCCACCATCTCTTTGGGAGGGGCGTGGAGGTTTTTTTTCTCAACATACTGAAAAAGGGGCCAAACATTGGGTCGCAAAATATGGCCGCTGGCACCCCGTATTCAGCCATACTTTCTCTAGTTTGACATCCATATGTGTTCGTTGGCGCGCTGCAAAGTTGCAACTGCCCTCCGGTGGCCGCTAGCCTGCCTGGTGTTGTTGCCTTTCGCCTTGCGGTCTTCTGCAGGACCGCGCATGGTATTTGAGTATTTTGGTCTGCTGATCGGGTCGGGTCGGTTATGCATGGCACATTTGGGGGGGGGGGATGGAGAAGAGGGGAGGGGGGTTCGTTTGCGGCAAGGTTGGTTTCCGCAGTTGTATGTAGGTATCGCAGCCATGCAGCAGGAGAAACAAAGTAGGCTGAGGTTTAAATTACCTTACCATGGCAGCCATGGGCTCGGTCTGCAAAAAAAGGTGGCCGCCGCAGAGTAGTATTCTTTCTCATTCCGCCGCCAAACGCAAAGCAAATCAGTCCGTTACTCCGTAACCTCGTCCAACTTTCCCCCAGCCCCCCAGCCCCCAATACACCCCCAATACAGGGTGGTCGTCGGGAGGGACGGATAGACTTGGGGGGGGGGGGAGGGGGGCGATGCTCTCTCGGTCAACGTAGAGATCGGCTCACCTTTTCCCAACGACCCCGCGCACTGCTGTCGCGGCCATGGTGACGGCGGACGGGCGGGGGGGGGGGGGGGGGGGGGGGGGGGTGCGGGGGGGGGGGGGGGGGGGGGGGCCCCCCCCCCGCCCCCCCCGGGCCGGGGGGGGGGGGGGGGGGGGGGGGGGGGGGGGGGGGGGGGGGGGGGGGGATGGGGGAGAATGAGACGGGATGTCGTGCGTTGAGTGGGATGTGTTTCCCGCCCATCGTGCCATGTGCCTATGCCGTCTCAGTCTCACAATAGGCGGGAGAGGTTGATGAACGGGGGGTTCATGGTAAGATCCTCTGTTTCTGCCATGGTTTACGCGGCATTAGCGAGAGCTGTGCGGTTCAAGCGCGGTTCGGTGAGGCAAGTCGGCTTTGAGGTCGAGGACTTGGCTGGCCTTCAAAGTTGAATCACATTTATGCAGCGAAGTGAGGATCAAGTTTGTTTTGATGAATTATGTGTGGTATTATAACTCTCATCTAGAATTGGGTGGTCCAATGCTGATATTGACCCCCTGTGCTCCAGTGCGAATGAGGAAATGTGAACTCCTTCTCTCCAACTTTTGATGTATCCCAGTTGACTAAATCGGGTTCCTAAGAAACGCTCGTACTTGACGTCGAATCCATCCATCTCTCTGAGAAAGGGAAGGGGGGTATCGGCGACGACAAAGTGGGAAAAGAAAAAAACAAAAAAAGAGTAGACTTGTAGTGAGTCTCCCTGACAAATGCTCCTTTCTAATGATACATGTTTGTGTTGATGAGGTTGTGGAAAATGCGTAATTGAATGATGACGTTGAGGTTTGTTCCTGGTCCCGTAATGATGCTTTGCTCGTTCCGTTGTAGGTCATGGATTAAAGATGGTGGTTTCCGTTGGCTTGGTTGAATAACCCACTTTCGGTGAAAGTGGTGTAGAGAGAACGAGGGGTAGGTTTGTATTGTTACAAGGTGGTATGTCGGTGAATACTGCGTAGGGGGTGTGGCAGTCGATGACGAAGTAGAGTGGGTTGTTGCGTGGTTGCTGGTAAGTTGCGTGCAGAGCCCAGCTCTTGGGAACGCGGGCCGGCACGAAGAGAAGGGGAAGAAGGTGAGGGAGGAAGAATAAAAAAGGCCCATTCTCGAGACCGCCTCGGAGCAACTGATGACCCTGCGGTCTATCGTGACGCAGGTGCGTTTGCCCGGTCTGGAGAGATTGAGGGGCAGTTGCATTGGCCCGGTGGTCGCAGAGGTGAGGCTTTTGGAGGGACCTCTGCCCCTCGGTCAGATGGTGTGGGTGGTGTGGGTGAGACGCATGCATGGCCAACACATGGAGGCGTGTATGGCGTGCATATTGGAATGCGTGGTAAATCCTGCGGGCTGCCAAATACAGGCCGACTGAATGGATGCGGTGTTGTTGCTGAAGGGTGTGGATCGGTTTTCGTTCGCAGTTGGTATTTTCCCGAGAACTGGTTCAATGGGTTTGTTGGCCCCCGTTCGTCCGTGTTGTTGGTTTTCGACTGCGAAGGGAAACCGAAGGGCAGCTCCATTCGATGTGGTAGTGGTGGTTTGTTTCTCAACTCATGGCTCTAGAAAGCTCTCGAGTCGGTGTATTGCGCGAGGCTAGCCGCCAGCCACTCTTTAACCGCGGGTGGGCAGAGGAGGAAGAGGGCGTTGAGGCGGCGGGCCGGGGCAGGGAGGAAGTTGCGAGGGGCGCTGAGCAGGCATGGTGATGAAGTCGTTGTTTGCGGAGCAAGCCATATGAGCTGTTGTGAAGTTGTTGGTCTGGGTTGAGGTAAGGCTGCGTAGATGTAGCCTTGGGGAGTTTTGTATGTTGTGGTGTTGCAGGTTGTTGAGCCGTTGAGGATTGAAGACAAAGACTCTTTGGTGTGTAGTGGTGGATGGAGGATGTGAGAGTAGTATGTAACCAAACGGTCGTAAGTTAGAAGAGTTTCGTCTGAATCTGGTCTTGTCGATGATGATTGTGATCTGGTCGGGAATAGTAGTCCATCGATACTAGGGGGGGAGTCGGGTGCCTTATGTATCTACGAATGCGGCCATGGGAAGGAGATTTTGGCTGGCGGTGCCTGTTTGCAGAGCTCGCTGTCCGAGACTCTGCAATTTTGGAACAGCCAGAAACCTTGCAAGGGTATTAGCCCAGCTTGACCTTGGATCGGGCACTGGTGTCTTCTTGCTTGGGAGGGGGGTGTGTGGTGTCAGGGGAGAAGGGTGTGAAGGGTGTGTGAGGGAGTGCCTACTTACCGTACTGCGTAGGTAAACCACCGTAAGAGAGGGTAAAAGTAGGGTGTGTGGTGACTATTGTGGGAGTGTGAGATGAGGGTGAAGGGCGAGTTTGCGGGTGTTGCGAGCTGTCCAGGGGTAAGTCGGCAGGGTGTGGGATGGGCGGCGATGGGGTGGCAGTAAAGTGAAGGTGAAGAAAGGAATTTTGCCTGGGACGGGAGAGAGAGAGAGAGAGCAGGTACGTCAGTACTTTGACCCCTTGTACCTGACACTGCCAGTGCCAAAATTAAAGCTTTGCCCTGGGCGTCCACTCCGTCTGGTCTTGGTGTTCTGGTGTGTGGATGGGGACGCGGCATTCCGTTTACGCTACCTTACGCCATCAGGTACACCACGGCACGGTACTTGCATACGGTATCTCAGAGCCGTAACGGTGGAATGCAGGTCTGCAGACTGTACGTACTGACCCACACACCGTCAAGTGGAGATCAGCGTCTAGCCGAAGCAACCGTTTCTCCAGAAATGTCAATCTCGTCAATCACCCCCAACGGTGGGCCGCCGTCTCGTCTCATCTTGCTGAGGTGACGGGCGGCTCCCATGACTGCCCGCTGCCCTGGAAAAAGGTCTCCCTCTTTTTGGCGGTGACGCATCGCCAGAGTCACCGTGGGGCTTGACCGCCGCAACGCGAGGAAATGAAACAAGCACGCGTACAGGGGGCTGCCCTGCCCTGAACGTGTTCCTGCCCCTGTCACACCGGCCTTTCTCACCGTCTCCATCCACTCTCAGTTTTCCCCATACACTACTGTACTCCGTTGAGTAGACTAACCGTCAGTCAGGCACAGAACGGAGCGGAGACGGAGACGGAGGGATTTGCCCACCAGCCAACAGGACACCTGTGCTCTCACTCTCATTCCCTCACTCACTCTTTGGCGAACTCACCTCACCCAGATGAAGGTATCCGTATCCATTCCCGGCACCAAGAAAAAAGGGGGGCCCTTCAGAGAAAAAGGAGACAGCGTTCGGCAGCTCCGTCTCTTCCAATCCAACCCTTGTCCTCCTCTTCCTGTTACGGTTCAATCTCAAACCGTCAGGGAAATTGCAAAGCTCACCGCTCAAACACCACCTAATTGACACCAAACCAGTCAACCGGTGACCACCACGCAACACCACACACACATACACTTGGACTACCAAAATTGCCAAAGCTCCCATCTCGTGCCGTCCATCTTCAGACGACACCCAATCAACCAGTTACAGAGCCAATATAAAGTTGCGACGTGCGTAATTTTGCGTTGACGACAGCGAGAAGGAGTACGAATACAGAACTCTCAAGTTCCTCCCTCTTAGACCTCTCCTCCCTGATGCATCGCATCATGTCACGGTGTCTACAGAAAACCTCAAACCTGGGTGGCCTGTTTAAACTGTCCACTTCTGCAAGTGAGCAATGATGTCTCGTCTCAACTCCCGAGTCCCCTTTCACCAAGCGGCTCTTTGTTCCCACGTTGGGGGGGAGTTCCCCGGTTCGCCGTGGACAAAAACTCTCTTTTGGCTCTTGTGAGTCTTGTCCTTTCACCCAAACTTGACAACTTACAAGCAGCATTGCGCGGACAAGGCGCCGCCCCAGAAGCGGCCGGCCGTGGCTCAGCTTCCGTAGAACACCAAATTATTCGCCCGTAGAATATCTGCCGCGTACAGTCGTACGTCCGTTACTATTACGACTTTCTTACTACGGATACTACGGATACAACTGCGCGGCCCTTTTTCGTCCTTTTCTGCGCAGTAATCTTAATTTTCCTGGGCGCGCAAACACGATTACACATTACACCTACATCATTGGCGTCGTTGTTCTGCAGAGTCCAACGTACACGTAGCGCAAGCCCACACACAAACCTGCAACTGCAACTCTACCTTGGCTGTACGCAGTAGAGTACACGCCTCTAAAGAAGCAGAAGAAGCAATAGAACACGGGATAAAAAAAAAGTCATTACATTTCACTTGCATGCGCATGTGCTGCTGCAGATAGCGGGGCCAGAGGCTCCGTCGACGTTGCTTCAGGTGCATCCAAAATAAAATTCTTCAGGGGGTGTTTCTTCTTCGTGTCTTCTCAGCTTCCTGCTGCTGCGGCAGCAACATGCAGACAAAATAGATGCAGCCTATTGCTGCCGCAGCCCATTCACCGTCGCATTTCATTCCGAAATCCGCAGCATTGAGCAGCAATTATCATCGCATTGCCTGATCTCACCTAACCACTCCGACGTAGGCGTCCTGCTGCGCCCCGATGATCTCTCCGAGCTTACCTCACCTTGTAATAGCGTCTGCCTGGAATAAGAATAAACCCCCAACCCAAGTCCCCCCGAGTATCCGTACTCCGTATTACGATGAAGTGCCGTAATCATGGTCAAAAGGCTGAATGCGGACAGCAGCTGACACGCAGTAACAGGTAACAGATTATCTACGATCAAGGCAGAGCAAGGGGGTGGATAATTGGCCTCCTCCCCCATTGGCAAAAAAAAAAAAATAATCATCAAATTAGAAAAAGCTGCCAGTCACCAGCGCTTCAAGGGGTCCAGCGGGGCGCAACGAAACCCTCCTCCCATCTCCATTCGAAATCGACCATCTTGCAGCAGGACAAGGGCATGCGTGGCATGGGCCAAGGGGAAAATGGACACTCTTCACTTCAAGGAAGTCGAAGACGGTAGGGCCCAGGGGTAAGGGGGGGCGGGCGGGCTGAGAACCAAGGCAAGGGAGAGAGGAAATTTCCCATCAAAAAATCGGTGACAATGAAGCGAACGAGCCGAATTGGCCTGCTTTACGGTAATAATTAAACCTGGTCCTTCTCTTTTTCTGCCGTTTGCTCTGCCGACCCGCTTTCCGTTCACACTCAACATGGGAAGTGTATAGCGAGATTGGATCTCGTCAGAGTCTCCCCCCCCCCCCCCCCAGCCTCCAAGGGGCCGCTGCTCATGCATGGAAGCTTTCATGGAACGATTGTGGAAAAAGTTCGACCGCTTCTGTAATTTCCCAAATTTTCTCCATATCCAGTCCGGGCTCCCAGGTCAGCCCACCGCCTCCAGCCAGTCAGGGGATTATGTTGTTGTGAGATTTGGTTGGGCTGGAAAATGAGCCTATGAGAGTGGTAGAAAAGAGAGGCGGTCACGATGCCGAATGCAACTTCAATTTTGTACAAACTTTTTTTTTCTCACTCTCATTCCCCGATGACCGGCGTTCTCCATCCAGTTACTCCGTTTACCACGGGAACAAAAACCTTGGTCATGACCAACCAACTCACATTACACCCCCGGTATGCTTAATCTCGTCTTCAGCCTTGTCTGTCATGTGCCAGGCAATGTGAGAACCCCTAAAATTTCCATCTCCTTCTCCAGACTCCAGACTCCGGACTTTTGAGTTCGGTTCGGTGTCTTGCGTGAAATGCCAGCCAAATGATCTGTAGGACTTTTTGAGTATGAACTGTATGAGCCGCACATCTGGGGTCATCCATCCTAGTGGGACTTCCGTCACGCACTCTATTTCGCAATTCCCAAAGAAAAAAAAATCCTGAATGAATGACCTGCCCGGGCCCCGAGCTGTCTGTTACTTGCGCCGCCCGCGCGCGTCCGCATCTTGATGGTTCCCGATGAGGCCATCCCTGCGAGGTCTACAAATCCAAAATGCGAAAGGGAAAAAGCCAAGTCTACCGTTCCATCCGCAATAAGAGTCCTGCCTTACCGCTCCTGCTACAAGCACTGCTTCCTACTCTACCAATCCCTGGGGAAAGCTTCTTTCCGTGACCGAGCGAGAAGCCGGCGAACCATGGGCTCTGTCACGACCCACATCACGAGCCGTGAGCCGGCCGTTAAACCTCCTCCCTGACTCTCCGACTCTTTCGTTCATCCAATCGCACATCTCACGGACAGCTCTGCACACAATGTGTGACTGTAAGGTGTGCCGAACTCTGTAGTGAAGACACGGTACACCGTCTTGAAGGAAGGCCATGTCCCTCTCGGAGATTAACCACCAACTCCGTAATACCAGCAACCTGTATGCGCGTGCCGTGATATGCTTACTTTACCTTTTCATGCCGCGTCCGTCCGTGAGAACTCCGTCCCACGCTCGTTATCATCTGTAGCCCTGGACCCTGGGAAAATTGTGGACAATCTTCTGAGGTTACACTACTGCAAGTCAACAATTAACAAGAACCCTAAAAAGTCCGACGACGAACGCGAGGAATGCGCGACCGCCTCGGGAAAGCGAAATTTTGAAGAAGGCTTGTTGAATCACACGAGACAAGGTCCCGGGGGGGGGGGGGGGGTTTCGGTTCGTTGCTGTCATTTCCAACATGTCACTGGCACACCGAGTCCCACCGAGGCGTGGAGGAATGGATACGTATCAAAGATTTGAACATCCTACACGCCAAAACACGAAGCTCAATGTGCCGTTTGTCCTATCGTCGATCATTGTGTGAGACTGTGAGACTCCCCATCCCCTTTGCTGAGCTCGAAAAAGGAACGGTAAGGAATTCCCAATCACTCGGGTCCAGAACATGGCCGGAGCGCGGTAACATTTGCGCACATCTCCCGTCCCCGTGGGATGGATGGCGCAAAAAGAAGGATGTCTCGGGATAATTGGACAATAATGAATATGGGTGTCTTCAGAGGTTCAGCCTCCTTCGTGGTCTCTGCCGTGTCACCACGTTCCTATGTAGATCCGATGCTTGGCCTAGACCCCTGGCCCCCAATGAGACCAAGCATTCCTTATTTCTCTTTTTCGTTCCTTTTTGTCAATATGCTGTTTCTGTTTCTGCCTGTTATCTTCACCGGTCGACCGGTGGTGATCAAATGTCTCTGTTTCAGCATCGCCAGCTGGCACCCACAGCTTTCAGCTTCATCCAACTTTGCTTATTGCTCTGCGCCTCCTCTCTCCCCCCGAATATCTTCGGTCGAGGGATGGAGCTGAAGACCCAAGTCCGGGGAGTCTTATTCCCGTGGCTATTCTTATCGAGACCCTTCCTCTGTGTCTGTCTCTCGCTTGCTTCTTCCTGTTGGCGATCAGCCTTTTCCTTGTCTAGGACACGAATCCGGTCTATTGGATGTCGATGCCAATCTTACTGCCGCATCAACAAGTTCAGCCCTTTTTTTCTCACACAGGCGCGGGCTTACAACCGTTTCAATGACCCACCGTTTCGGATTCTCATTGGTTGGTGGCTGCTTACCTTGGTCTCTTGGGGAGCACTGGGATCAATCACTGATCTTCCCCCCCCGCAATGGTCTCACGTTACGTGCAACCTTGGCACCGTAATGTGCACATCATCACCCTCGAGCACTTTCAACCCTTGCTGGCGCCATTCAGATCCCAGTTGCCCAGTTTCCGCCTAGACATGCAAGTCGAGGTCAGCTGGTCACGATCCCAAGACAACACTACCCAAGAGATGTTGAGAAAGAAGAAATGTCCGTACAAGATTACGCTTGATAGACAGCGCACACAGCCTGCCTGCCTGCCTAGACCTCTACGAATAGAAGAAACGGGCAAGAGAAGCGAGGGAAGCCTGCAGCAGGCTATGCTTCTCTATACAACACACTCCTGCGCTCGCTTCCCCCATGTCGCGTAAGACGCCCCGGATCAAATGATGAATCGATGATTTCCCTCCTCAGTCGCCATCTTGGCGCATCGCTCGACCACGTTCTTCACACATCTGCACGTCGCCCACCCCGTATCCGCCTACCTGGGTACGGAGTACGGCAGCACGGCAGAGTACCAGACCCAGGCTGTATCTCTAGGCAAGACAGGAAAATACTGGTAGCGATGGGAAGCTGACGGTATGCCGATGCTGACGGCATCAATCAAACGTCCCACGACCCTTGTCGACCGTATCCCTGGTCTTGCTCGCAATGTTTCCGAAAGGAGCCCATACCATTGCCATATCCGTAGAGATGGGAGTCATCGGGTACAGTAAACACCGTTTGATTCTTGCCGTCGCAGTTTCAAATGTAACATGGAACAGAGAGAGTCGTTGGCGGTGGTGGCTTAGCCAAAGCACAATCGCCCGATAACACGAAATGTCGAGCGAGCACCGCGTATTCCGTAACTACCTACACACAGCCATGGCAGTAGGGTCTTTTTGCCCGGTTTTCTTCCCGCAAGAGACTAAGAAGCGAAAGGAAGGAAGACGCAGAACGCCTCGTAAAGAAGACCGAGCCGAGGGAAGACATCGTCCAACGATAGTTCGGCGATCTCCTTCCCTTCCCATACTCTCCCTACGGCGCGTGGGAGAGCCGTGGAAAGCGTGTGCCCGCCCGTCCTAACGCAAGCCTCCCATTACCAGATCTACGGATCCGCGGCGCGGGGGCTTGTCATCGCGGCGGTGATCGGGACACCAAGGCTTGCGGTAACATGGCACTTGGATGGGCGGATGGTGACACGAACGTGCCCCGTCCCATTCGAAAACCTGGAAAGCCACACAAGAAGCCTCGAGCCTTCAAGCCTCACTACGATGCCCCAAGCTCCAAACCTCGAGTTCAAGCAAACGGTTGGCTCCTGAGACCTGAGTAGGTAGACCGTAGAGAGCAGTTTTTGGGTGGGATGGCAGTTCCCGTGTTTCCCCAGAGTTAGCGCCAACGAAACACCTTCTTGAAGCGTACAAGCTCGAGGAATACCAAGCCATGGCGGAAAGAAAGCCACACCCAAATGAAGGGTTAGTCTTTTTTCTTTTTTTTTTTCCCTCTTTCCACGATAGGGGAGGACAAAGACATTGACAACTGCCAGTGATCGAGCAGGACACCACGAGACCACATTACCCCTCGTTCCATCCCACTTGCCGGGAATTGGTGGCTTGTCTTAAGAGGCACTGATCGTTCAAAGCTTGATGGAAATTGCCGTCGCGGATCCGCATCTCGATAATCGCGATTGTCGCCGGTTAGCCAAGAGGCCTTCAGCTTGCCCAGACACAACTCAAAATCTTTCCCATGGTGCCATGGTGCCATGGCACATTATCTACCCAGAGCCGGGCTCGCGGTAGTACCAGGACCATGGTGATGGCGTCCGCGTTCTCCTTTGGACCTTCTGGCATATATCTTGGAAAACTTTGGACACTACAAACAAGCGTCGGCAAAGGAGATCGCACCAATATTACGCCTCAAGTCTTGGATTACTTGTTTGTTCCGCACCACAATGCGGAACCGAACAAGCTGAATGCCGATCAGGGTGTACGAAGAGGTGTCACAATCTGGGCAAAACTGAAGACATAACGTTCCACCGTCTAAATATTGTTTCTCAAGCCAGGGTGGCTCTTCTCCATAGTGTGGCTTTCCTTGTGCGACCACACACTTTACCAATGACGCTGTCAAGACCACTCACACCGGAAATCCCCAACGTTCGTGCCGTTCAAGCATATCCATACCATTGAAACATCAGACAAAAAGGCTTCGGGGTCCGTGTTTGGTTTGATTGATCGACCGTTTCTGTAATGACCAGGTTGGGCCTCACTCATCCCATCCCTCTCCTCAATTGCCCGAGAATCCGTAAGCAAGCAAATTCGGAACGAAAACGAGGGTGCGCTTTTTCTCGGGTTCCTGATGGAGAACATGTTGACGTTGTTGGTCTACGTCTTTGTCTGCCCACCCAACTCCGGGGAGGGGACTGGACCGGACCCATATTCCGCGGCGAAGCACGGAGGCTTCGGGGAAAGCTCTTGGGTTCCGGGCTTGGGCACACAGTCAGAAGCTTATTGACATTACAACCTCGTGTCAACGACGCAACGTACACAGCATTTGTCTTACTGTTACACAAAGACCAGCTCAGTCAGTTCTGCAGGCTGACACACTTGTTCCCAATCTAGAGGCTCAGACACATGTTCCTGTCTCGCTTGCTGCCTTGCCATGCTGTGTCACCGCGCCACCGTCAGCAACAACGTCGCAAGTTGCTGACATTTTGACGAACAACCCACCCATACACTCAGGCAACTCCTCGTGGGACCTGAGAAACGGAGGCAGAAACAAGCGCAGATGGGGGTGCGGAGCGGGAGGACGCTCCCAGCCACAGTCCTGATATTGACATGATACTGATGGGTGGTGTGGTGGTCACGGGCGGACGGTGGATAAAAAAAAAAGACGGTTGTGACGTGCTCCTATCATTCCACCATACGGAAAGCGTCACTTGCATGAGAGAGAAAGTCGCATTACGGCTGGGACCTAGATACGTGCTTGCGATGCGAAACTGCGGAAAGCTGTGTACTGAGTGTACATGTCCTAGAAGTTCCGTCCACGTCAACCACCCAACTCCCGTCCTTCCAAGCCGGCCGAATTCCGTTACGACCACCGTTTTGGACAGCGTCTCCTCTGATTGGCGCCTTTTTTCACCCATTGAACGGTACCCAGTTACAGCATATCCTCCCACTCCCATCCAACAGCAGAGTGTCTGTGATGACACATGGTTACGCTGCATGGTGATCCTCTCCCATGCAGCCTTATCCCCCAACTCGGAATGCCTGCGGTCACAAAAAAACGGTGCTGGCGGCGCTGGCGAGCTGGCTGGCTGGCTGAGTGAGTGTCCGAGTGGACTTCGCGTTCGGTTCGGTCTCACGGCGAGCCAGTCATACCTAGCGGCAAGCGGTGCCACGGCGGTGGTGGTCTTGGAGAAACAGACAAACATTCCCATCATGACGACGACTCTCACCTCACTATCACACTCAAACTCACACTCACATGTCTGCAGAATTCCACGGCCACGTTGTCTTTTGCTTGGTTTCTCCATCCTGTTTAATAAACAACCGCATCCACTTTATGTGCTTTCTCGCACTCTCACTCGCTTCATGAATACCCATACGATGTATGTATTCGTACACACACACCCGAACCCCGTTTTGTTCCATCCGCGTTCTCTCCCCACTCGAAATAGAAGGAAAAGGACATCGGCTCGTGAAAATCAAAAAGTTCCCAGTCTGTTCCCCATTGTAAAAAGTGCACATGCAGCGGCGCGACCCAACTTTCCAAAAGTCTTGGCTTTCCGCTGTCGCGCTGACGAACCGGAGGTTCCACATCCTTGGGGTTTTTGACATTTGTTCTCCGTTTCCCGTGCCGAGGACACCGAAAGTTCCTTGACAGGCTGACTGTCTCCGCTCCCGCCAAGCGGACCAGGGTGTTTGTGTGTGGTTGTCGGTCCAAGGCAAACGTTCACACAAAGGCGGTCAGGTCCTGCCAATCACCCAGGTAGTGACTGTGCTTGCTTGCCTGCCCGGTAATTATCATGGGTCGCATGAAAACTGTCCGTTAATGTTGTTGAGAAGCGTTGTTGATGAACTTCTGTCGATGGGTGTGACTCACAATGAGTTGGCGATCTTCTCCCCCCCATCCCCTTCTGCAACAACCCTTGTCTAAGCGGTTAACCTCACCTCGGGCATTTTCCAGTCATAACGCTTCCTTCAACCCGATCATCTTTTTCCCCCTGCTCTCCAAGGCTGAGATGGTTGATGAATGACACCGTCTCTGTGGAACCGAGATTCTTGACTTGCGAGACCGCTTGTCTTTGCTTCACCCTCCCTCCCCTCATCCAGCACCCTGGTTCACGTCAGGTATTCCTACATCTCTAGCTTGGTCAAGTGCTCGTGCAGATGAGCGCGTACGCAGAAAAGAGGGTCATTTTTCTTCACTTCCTGTGTCACGATGCGAAAGATGTCATTATCCCATCACGAAGAAATCATGTGAAAATCTTCACAAGCCTAAAGTGTCCCCCCTTTCTCCACTATACGAAACGGAAACCTGGCACCGCTTTCGGCTGCCATATGAATCCACGTTACATTTCCCAATCTTGCCAAACCCATGGACCCCGGTTACGCTATGGAGAATAGAAGCAAATGACAGAAGCGGTGGAGAGAGGATCATCTTCTTCGAAACCAAGGAAGAAGAGAAATAACGTCTAGAAGGAGCGGATCCTCGACGAATGGAAGCATTCCCGAACAAGGACCCTCACCTCCTCATCATCGCGAACCCCTTCGTTTGAGGGTCAGCATGAGCCATGAGGGGCTATGGGGCGCGCACCCACGAGCAAACACCAAAATGAAAAGATGGAGCACAATAGCGACAAAAAAAGATGGCTGGGATATCGTTGTCGGGCGTCATGCTACGGTAAGGGGAAAGTTGAGACTGGCCACTCAGGACTCAAGAAAAGGGGTTCTCCTAGTTCTCCTCTAGCTTCACCGTTTGAAAAAACTTGCTCCACCCTACTTTCGGTGAAGGCGAAATAACTTGAGACGAAGATCAGACCGAAACCAGTCTGCTGGGAAATTTCCCCATCCTCTTTGAGCCGCCTCTGAACCGTGCAATCCCCGTCGGTGAGAAGCCAACGACGGAAACGACGACACCGACTTTCCTATCCACGATCAAGGATTCTCCCTTGGCCATTACATAGTGTACGGATAGTCAAGGGGACCACATCTGTGCTCTCGAGACCCTTACACCGTTTGAGCCTCATCTTCCGAATCCCATCACCATCCCTTTACCCATGTAGCTTCAAGTAACGATGTTGGAAACGAACGAACTCGGGGTTTGACCCTTCCATTCCTCCCTCGTTCGCCTTCTATGGATACGGATATCCGCTCTGTTGGGTCAGCCAGCCCCAATTCGTACTCATTGACGTGATGCCTGCTTCAGCCCGCCCAATCCCGCTGCCAAACGGTTGACTACTGCTGCTTGCCCTTGGCTATAACACGGAGACACAGGCTGCTAATGTTCAATTTCGGCGGTGCCGTTCCCACGTACACGGGACCCAATGAATGGGGAGACAATTGGAGCCCATCTTCAGCTTCAGCTTCGGTCAGCTTCTGCCGCGTGGCGGCACAAATGTCTCACGGTGAACGGGCACGTATGCGATCAAGCGGCGCGGCGAGTGGAATTCTGAGAGACCCTCTTCATTGGAAAAGTTGAGGCTGCAGAATGAAATGCTTCCCGTGGTTCGTCGCACATTGACGAATGAGCAGGAAAAACAATTATACCAATTGCCGTGGTTTTGGCGAAATAAGCTTCGCTAGAGTCCCCATCAATGTCTCACTCTCTGTGATGCCACGAAGAGAACCTATCTCTAACACGAAGTAGTCTCCGTTGTCCCAGTCCCACGAACGGAGCGTGAAGCCAGACCCGGTGCTCTGGTAAAAGCGTGTGTCACTAGCTTCGCGATGCCGACGCTTCTCCAGCCAGCCACGACCCGAGCAGAGGTATCTCACCCTATGTGCTACGGCCCGACACTACGGATAGAGGTCCGAAAATTGGAAAAATCGTATTCGTTGACCCTCATCGTCCTTTCCATTCTGAGAAACCCATTCCGCGTTGCCCTAGCCATAGCTTCAGAACTCTGGGCCGCCCTCCGCTCACTTGTAGCCGGCGGCAATCAAGTGCCGCCTCTTCGGACATGGACATTTACCACCGGAAAGGGACAAGAGGCATCGTCCAAGTGGGATGCCATCGGTGACGAGAGCTACTCTGTTGCTCACATTACCCACGAATCGTAGCCTAGTAGGAATAGAGGGCAAACGCCATCGACCCAAAATGTCGGATATGATCAACTCCGGCATCCTCAGAGAAAGCCATGAACCTTCGCTCCGGCGAATGGGAATTTCTGCCCTTGCGGATACCATCTCCCACTCACCCCCCTCAAGCGTACCGCAGCCCCGGTACGAACGCCCTCCATCTGCCGCGTGCCTGGCACATGCCCGCGGCTCTCCGATCCCCATTGCGGCGATCTTTACACTCTCCTAACTCGTCTTCCATCACGTTTTCTTGCATCGGTCGGCGCCCTTGCATGAAGCTTGGCAGTTGGGAAGAAGTTATCTGTTCCTCTTCCCGCTTTGTTGAGTTTTTAACCCGTTACTATTGTTGAACTGGGTGACTGTGACGCTGCGGCGTCAGGAGACCGGACGAAACGAAACACAACGCCGCAGCGCCTCCTTTCCTCGTCTGATTGTTTTGGCTCTTCACTCTTGTCTTGTTCCTTTGGGCGCCCTTCTTCCCACGCCCCTTTTGATGCGCCGACCGGCCCAGGAACCCGGAAGATGCCATTCTATTGGGCTGATGGGACGCTTGCGCGGTCTGAGACGCGTACGGAGTACGGATACAGGTGACTGATGGAAGCACCGAGTGGAACTGTGGAACATTCTCCCGTACTCCGTACACAACAATAATAGCAGCGCTTTTTGGGCTTGGACTTCATCGGCGTCCTGACAGAGATATCCTCCGACGCCAACACTGACCACCACTGTCACATCGTGTCTGTCCTCATCTCAACACCGGCAGATATTTTTGGGCGGGTAATTTCTGTACGTGTAAGAGCCGCTTCGCCACAGGGGGCAGGAGAAGAAATGCCACGTCTCCGTTTTCTCATCTACACTAATGAGTTTTAATTCGAAATCTCCGTCTTGAATGCGAAACAAACCGTGCCCCAATTCCGTTCCCGTTTACACTGCTACTTCAGAGTCTGTACCGTTCCTGTTCCTGTTCCTGACTCCGCGTCCCCTGTCCTTGTCTGTGGTTGTCAAATTTTCGTCAAACTCCAATATTGTGGGAAATTCTTTTCTTAAAAATCCAGGAACCACGAACAAAGCCCACTTTGACTGGGATGAGGGGATCTTGCATCCAAAATTCGGGTCCGTTCTTCCTCTGCAAGGTCAGAACCCGCCCCAGAACTCTGTCGGAAATTCAGGAACATGTGGCAAATTTTCTAGAAGGTATTCCGTAAATTGGCAACGCCTCCATCCAGTTCCATCGAAATTGGAGTTAAGATTTCTCTCCGTATTTTTCCTTGCCTCTCCGGTACCCAGCAGTCTGTCACCAACCAACACATGGAAATCCACGAGGCTGGGGTTTCGGGTTCGTTCGTCTCGGTTTGCCGAGATGCGCGTGATGTAAGCTGCAGTGTTGCAGGGAACCAGTTGGTTCCGTTACACGAACTCTCTCTCTCCCATTCTCACCTGAGCAGATTTTCCCCCACAAAAAACGGTTGTGGGAATAGCATCGTCATTCCGGGCCCCACGAAATGCACGTCGTCGATCTTTCTTCTGCCAGTCAGCAGACCCAGAGTATGGAGTACCTTGCTCTGCGCTATTGTTGGAACACACAACACACCGGACGGGGTACCGACTGCCGGAACCCGGTCAGGGTATCATCGTCTCGTACAATGGAAGAAGAAACATCAAGAAATCAAGAGAAATTGGTCATCAAGGAAATACGGTGAAATGAGAATTTCGGAACCACCAGAACGGTGTGAGACCCAAGGTACCTGACCAGAAAAGAAAAGAAAAGAAAAGATGCCAATTTGTGAGTCATCCGTTCCAGCCGTGCCTCACCGTTCCCATCCCGTTTCTCCGTCCTGGCATCCATCGTGCAGATGCAGCGTCGCATCGAACGTGTCCCCGTGACGGGTTCCAGAGGACCGGTACCAACCAGAAGGAAAAGTTGGAAACAGTGCACACTACCCATACACGAACCAGCTGCAGCATCCCGTCTTTCGGTGAATACTGTGCCTTGCTTTACTTCCCACGAACGCGTCGTTACTTGTCCGTCCGCCCGTGGGGGGGGGGAGGAGAGAAAGGGGGTGTGTCTCTACGTCGCGTCGAGATGCCGTTCAAGAAATCACATCCTCCGTGATCACTGATGGGTGCCCGACTGCCCGTAGTACCATAGTCCGGCGTACGCACGTTTGCTTCTTTTCTATACTACATGCTAGATAGAGGCGCGCACCGTCTTTTCTCTGGCAGACTGGCAGGCAGCGGCAGGATCGTGTACTCGTCACAATAGAGGGAGGGCTAAACACTAAAGTGCTTGCGTTCACTAGTTCGCGTGAAAAACCAATACCCATTTGCCCTGTTCCAGCTCTTTCAATCAAGTTTTGCTCAGGAACCGAGGCACCGGGAGAGGCTTCCCTTCGGCCCAGGAACAAAGAGTCCGTGTGCTCGCGGGCGCTTACAAGCCCCAAGCCCTCGATCCAGGCAACATTTCACGATCATCGAGGACAAGATGGACTTCTTTTTCTTCCCCCCCAATGTCTCTAGCGCCTGTCAAGTTAGTGTCAACTAATACGGCGGATACCTACTTCCTGCGGCCTGCCGCTTCAGCTAGCAGAAACTTGCCTACTTAGCTAGCAATCCATCGTGAACTCTCACCAGGAACCGGTTGAAGTTTGACTCAGAACTACTGCAGTTGGGCCAAACAAAACTTGGAGAGCTCCTCCTCGTCTTCGGCCGAGAACCTCCGTATCTCAGGAGTTTGGGCCAAGGTTTAATTCCCCAGGTAGCTCTTTGCAGCTTTGCTTCTTCCTCCACGACGGCAGGATCTCGCGACGTCGGAAAGCTGTCACTGCGACGGTAGAAACATCCTCTCATACAGGTTAGTTTGGCGGGTTGCCCGAATTGGGCAATCCTGCAGCATTTGCTGTCTCTCTGCAGAAGATCCTTGTTTTACATCCTTGCATCGCGTAACCGTACTGATGATCAACCAGGGGAAAATGTGATCGAAAAAGACGCCATCCGTACCATGTGTTGGTTCCGAAGAGGAGGTCCAATGCAGAAAATACAGAAACCCATCATCTGATCAAAATGATTCCATCAGAAAACCCTGTTTTGGCGCCGGGCTTGGAGACTTGGAGACTTTGGGAGGTTAACTCGGCACTTCGGTTGACTTACTTGGGGCCATACGCCATTGACTCCTTCGCTCCGTATTTCTGTCAGTGAGCTGCCTGCCGTCGTCGGAACAGGGGATCTTCGAAAAAGAAAGTGACAAAAAAGTGACGGTGTCACTGGTGTCAAGTATGGTCACGATCTTCTCCTCTGCTCTCCACCCGCCCGACCGTGCACACGCAATACACCGCTAAATCGAGCTGCAGGAGCAAGAGATGCGGAACCTTGGATACGGGGTGGGCGTCGCAATCGTTTGGGGATGCTGGGAACCAGGTGCAAATCACCCCCTCATGACGGGCAGGCAGATTGACGAGGCGTGTCACGATCGAACTTCTCCAGAGTCTCCAGCACCACTCACTCCCACCGTATTCTATTCTCAGACGGGGGTTTACCTGAGAGCATGACCGAATACTGTTCAGATATCAGACGAGAAGCGTACGGTAGGTGATACTCGGCGCGAGCAACCGGTCTGAGACGGAGCCAAGCAATTTCGAAAATTGTACCGTAAGGTGATGATTATTTGATGTATTATTGTTGTCCTGGGTTGATTAGAGCCAGTAGTTCGCGATTTGGGGTTGATGAACGAACGCCGGGCCACTGCGGGAAACATAGTATTATCCTATCTGCATGTTGCGCAGGCAAAACATTGGCATTGTCTCAACGCCCCTCGAAAAAGGTTCTCATGCCTCCAAAGATTTGTAGGTCCGTTCCTGTGATACATTACAGATTTCCACGATGATCGGTCAGAGGCCTGTCTGTCCGTCTGTTGTCTATGGTTTCAACCGGCGACCTCCGCGATCGAAAGGAGACTGTTCAGCTGATGTCTGATTTGGACTGTGCCATCCGGCGGCGGCGTAAAACTGACAAGTCGTACCATTATCACATTGAAAATCTGTGACGAGTCCGTTCCAGGCGATGAGTATCAAAAAATGAGAAGAGAGTGGCACAGATGGTTCGATTGGCTGAAGCGCTTCATGCGACTGATGTCTCTCTGCCTGGAGACATGGAGCCTTTGCCTACCTCTTGGTCGACTAGCAGCCCTATAGCATTCAGGAAACCGTAAAGACGGCGTTTTCATAGCAACATCCATCTCTTCCGCCGCATTCCCATTCCCCTGCCTGCCTCAGCTGTTCGAGCTTCGAGCGGCATCAAGGTCCTGGAGCTCTCCCCGGTCAAAACGGATGATCCAAAATAGCTAGGTAGGTGGACGCCTCGCCGCCCGCCATTTGCTGCATGTTCCATCATCTTCGGTTAGGCTGTGTGCAACACATGGCGTTTTTAAAGTGTATGCCGTGTACCCTCGTTCAGAAACCTGCAGGAATGCCGCCGCTGTCGGACAATTACCGCAAAGGAAAAGCCTGGCATCAATATTTCCTTGGGGGCGGGGTCTGAAGCGAGGTCAGAGACAACACGATAGTGTTGATTTACTTGATAATGTGTATGGATACTGGATGCTGCAACAAATAGTGCCACGGTTCACGGCATATGCAGGCAGACGAATTCCACCATGAGTTGGGGTTGCTGCGGCTGGCGCGTCGTACCCATCCACCTCCAGTGGCAGTTTTGTTGCGATGGTGACATTATCACCCGAGTTGAGGTAACTGATAAGATCCTGGCGCCATCAATGATCGCCCGCAACCCCGTCCTTTGCCTGTTGCGTGCCAGACTGTGGTCTCGGGCGGCTGCTTCATCGACCGAGTGACCGTCGCACTCATCTCACATCTCAGAAAATCGCAGTCAGCCCGTGTGTCCGTTTTGAAATGCTCTCACACAGCCCCCAAATCCGCCCCAAGTATACTCGGTGCCCCGCGGGTGTTTTCCCTGAGGCGATTGACGTGTCT